GGATCCCAGTGTGTACAGTGTCAGTGCTGTGGGAGTGCACACAGCGGATCCCAGTGTGTACAGTGTCAGTGCTGTGGGAGTGCGTGGCAGGTAGAGGTGCTCGTCTTCTGACTGGAGTGTGCTATCCGGGACCCACATGGTGGAAGGAGAAAGCCAACTCCACACATGCACTGTGACATGTGACACATACATAAATAAATGTAATACATTTTTTTGAAAAGATGTAGGTCTACCCTCTTACTAAAAAGTAAGTTACAGAACAATAGAGTAAGACACCTGACATTGGCCCCTGGCCTCCACACACATGCCCACACATGTGCATGCACATGTGCACAGATAAGATTACGTACACCACACACACGCACACATACCCTCCCCCCCCACATGTGCACACACAGGCACACAAAGAATTAGTGTTGGTTAGACAGTTTAATATTTCCAAAATAAAGTTAAAATCAATTTCTGTTTCCAGAAATTATAACAAGTTAAAAAGAAAGATGAATTTTAAAGAGCAAAACGTGAGCCGAGTGGTGGTGGCACATGTCTCTAATCCCAGCACTCAGGAAGCAGAGGCAGGAGCATCTCTGTGAGTTCAAGCCCAGCCTTGTCTACAGAATGAGTTTTAGGACAGCCAGGGCTACACAGAGAAACCCTGTCATGAAAAACCAAAAACCAACCAAACAAAAAAGAAAACAACAACAAAAAAGATAGCAAAACATGTTAAGCTTAAGTTACTTGGCATGCTTTTAAAACAATAGTCAGTAAGTCTCTCTCCACAGAAGGAAAATGATACATCTTCACGTCACATTTCCAGTAAGTGGAACCAATGATCTTTTCAAGTATTTGGGAAACAGAGATGCTTTATCTAGAGCAGCGATACCTCATGTTCAGATGGTTGGGACATAAATGGCTGCTGCTGAGTTGTTCCTGGCTGTCTTTCACCAAAGGACTGTATGGCGTTTATCTGCAGGGGCCTAATTGTAGCCACACTTGTCACAGAATTAACTAGGGACTTTTCCTTACAGGAGCAAAAATCCAGCAACAGTTGGCCAAAATACATAACAATGTGAAGAAACTTCAGCACCAGCTGAAAGATGTGAAGCCTACACCTGATTGTAAGAAGAATTCAGTATAAGATTCTCTTTTATGTGTCGCTGTTTTCTGTTGGTGCATTAGAAAAATGTATGCCTTTCTAGTGAATGTCTCTTCTTTCCATTTGACATAGTGGACCCAGCCCTACTTCATTCAAAGTAAGGGTAGAGTTGAGAAGTGTAGTATCAGAGCTTATATAGGATTTTCAGCCTTTGAACTGCCATTCAGTCCTTAACATTGTCAAATAGGCAGGAAAGACACTGTAAGGTGGGAACACTGTGGCCCAGGAAGGTTCAGATTTAGCCAGCCAAGTGGAAAAAGATTGGTTTCCCAAATCCTAGCCCTTATCCTGCATATCCTGTCTTTGGCTTTTGGGGGAAAACAAAAAACAAAAAAAACCTTTCAGAAGTATTTCAAATATGTAAGGAATGGTTTGACTCGACTGGGACAAATGCTAGTTTGGGGGAGGGAGAAAAAAAATCCCATTCCCACCTTCTGTTTCAAAATTCTTTCCTGATTGGTGCTGAAGATGTGTGGACTCAGAATATACTGGATCAAAACCTTAGTCTGTCATTTATTAGTTAGGGCACTTAGGCAAAACCTCGATCTCTCTGAGCTTTCATGCCTTAGTCTGTGCAGTGGAGATCATGGACCCTCTGGTGGGGTTTGGGCAGGATGGGATGGAACAGAGCTCTAGAGTATAGGTGCAGTGCTTGGAGTATGGCAGTCACTAGAACTGGCAAATGGGAGAAGAATGGATGGCATTCATTAAATTAAATGAGGCCGTAGTGTGCTAGAGGGAACATGCAACAACTTTTTGATAATATTCTGTTATATAAGAAAAGAACAAAAATCTAAAGAAAAAATGACTGTAATTACTTTAAAAACACTTAAATCCATAAATATTGTTGAAAGACAAATTAGAAAAGTATATCTATATATGTAATTTAATAAATGAATATTCGTAAGATATATAGAATTTCTACAAATTAGGGCAACCAAGATAAACAGTAGTAGGAAAAAGGACTGAGATTATAAGGCACACAGTATATCAAAAAATATACAAAACTCAGATGGAACAAATGTCCATGCTTATTAATAATCACAAAAATGTCAGCTAGATTGATGATAGGTCCTTACCTTCTTTTGGAAGTGATTTAAAATACATGGGGAGAAGGTATCTATCTATCTATCTATCTATCTATCTATCTATCTATCTATCTATATATATATATATATATATGCACAAGGATTTTTACTGTACTGTTGTGCGTATTTAAAGGTTCATCAACAGGAAAATTAAATGAATCAGATAGTTTTAGATAATGAAATACCATATGTAGCCATAGAAAAAGAGAGTTAGTAGTATATATACTTATATGCAAAGTTAAGCATAACTGTTTTTGGTTGTTTGTTTAGGTCTCAATATGTAGTTCTGGTTGCCCTCCAACTCACAGATTCACCTGCCTCCATGTCCCAAGTGCTGGGATTAAAGGTGTGCACCACATTACCTGGGTGTCCACATTTTTTAACCAAAATATTTTCTTAAATAAAAATTTGTGAGTCAAACAATAGTATGTGTAGTATGAAATAATTTTTATAAGAGTAATACTGATTATAGGATTTAATAGTATGGGCATGTAGAAAAATACCTTTAATAAGAAATTGTAATCACAAAAAATTTACTTGTTAGTGGTTTTCTTAATTTCTTGTGCTAAGAAATGTTTTTAAATTAGGGACAGTCCATATTTTCTCCTAATTATTAGCTCAGCTATATTAAAATATGACATGGTGGTTTTATTTTTTTACAGTTGTTGAAAAGCTCAGAGAAATGATGGAAGAAATTGAAAATGCAATCAATACTTTTAAAGAAGAACAGAGACTGATGTATGTTTTAAAACTCATTTAACATAAAGTTTTGATCTTGATTTTCCAGTAACTCACTTATAGGTTGTCACCTGTGAATGTACTATAAGTTGTCTCTGTCATTTCTAGAATTTTGGAAGTTGCTTACAATGCACTTCCTGTTTACTTAGATACTAATATATTCGTTTGGGGTCTTTGATGGAGTTGAAAACTGGATAGTTATAATTATAGTTTTCCTTAGTTGTGATAAAAGGTAAATTAGATATAAAACTTTAGACTTACAAATATAGGATAAATGACAGAATATTTTCTTTACTTTTACCAAATACAAGTAGACTAGATATTGTAACTAATTCTACTTGATAACTGTTTTATTATACATAATTTAACTATGTTAAAGTTAAAATCTTCCTTTTTGATTAGACAGAAAAGGAGAAGTGCTATGGGATGTCTTTCTGTATGCTGTGAATATGTGTTGCTCTCATTGGTTGATAAATAAAGCTGTTTGGCCAATGGCAAGGCAGAATAGGTTTGGCAGCACATTCAAACTAAAGACAGAGAGGAAGAAGGGTGGAGTCAGAGGGGAGATGCCAGCCTGCCGCCCAAGGAGCAACAAGATGCCAGCAGACTGGTAATACCATGGCAATGTGGTAACATATAGATTAATAAAAATGGGTTAATTTAAGATGAAAGAGCTAGCTAGCAAGAAGCCTGAGCTATAGGCCATACAGTTTGTAATTAGTATAAGCCTCTCTGTGTTTACTTGGGACCGAGCCGCTGTGGGACTGAGCAGGACACAGGAAAACTTCTGGCAACAATAAGTTTACTAGTCTATCTTCTGTACTAGAGTTTAGACAGCCTTTCATACTTAAACTAAATTTTCATTTATCTTGGACACCAGGAGATCACAAATGAAAGTGTGAAAGATTGTGTAAGTTTGAGAAGACAAACTTCTTTTAAGGCTCAGATAAGAATATTATTAATATTAGAAATGTCAACAAGTGGAGTCAGAGATGATTAAACTTGCAGGAAAGTGAAGGGTTAATATGGATTCGTTGAATTCAAACTTCATTTTTCTTCATTTTAGATACGAAGAGCTAATTCAAGAAGAGAAAACGACTAATAATGAGTTGAGTGCCGTCTCTAGGAAAATTGACTCTTGGGCTTTGGGTAACTCAGAAACAGAGAAAGCTTTCCGAGCGATCTCAAGCAAAGTTCCTGTAGACAAAGTGACACCCAGTACTCTTCCAGAAGAAGTGGTCGAATTTGAAAAATTCCTTCAGCAAACAGGAGGGCGCCAGGGGGGCTGGGATGACTTTGACCACCAGAACTTCGTGAGAGTGAGAAGCAAACATAAGGGGAAGCCAGCATTCATGAAGGAGGTTGTAGAACACCTTCCGGGAAGAACACTGGATGAAGTTCAGCAACATGAGAAGTGGTATCAGAAGTTCCTGGCCCTAGAAGAAAGGAAGAAAGAGGTAATAGTGGTTCTAGCAGCTGTTGTGCATCGTGTGTGTCTGTGGTCCAGGTGCTCTGCAAAACTCGTCACCATCTCATGAACGTTTCCCAGACAGCATCAAGTCAGCCATGGTCTCTTAGAGCAGAAACCAAGACGTGGAGTAGTTGGGGAACTTTCTCTCAGTGGTACACCTGCAGTTGAACTTCTATCACAAGATATTATTACACAGTGTGCCATCCACATCCATACAGACTGCAGGAAGAGGTCATCTTAGCAGAGGCTACAGTCGTTTCTGGGGGAAAGCACTGTTTAAAGACTCAAGTTTTAGCTACCCTAAGAGGATTGTAGCAAATAGACCAAAGGTTCGTTTTCAAATAAATACTAGCCTGGCTTTTACCTAGGTCAAGGTTTCTCAGCCTCGGCTAGCAGCATCTGGTGCTGAGTAATTGTGGTGGCTGTCTTGTCTGTGGTGGAGTGGTTAGCAGTGTCACTGGGCTCTAGCAACCAACGTGTCCTTCCTTATAATCAACAGACGAGTCTGTTGTCGGGGGAGCAGCTCACCTTTGGTTGAGAACCACTAATTTAGAGAAAATGGGTGATCTGTTGACAAGTCTGAGGGGTCTGTGGTAGAGCATGTGTGTTTGCTGCTGTGGTTTGAGGTCGGCTGTGGGACCTTTAACTTGTTTGGGTTAGCAGGAATACATGATCTTTCCTACAGATGACATACCCACAGAGCCCTAAAAAATAATGATCTCCTGTGTGATCTGAAGTTGAGAGAAGGCCGTGGACTTTCTGTTTTCGATCTCATTGTTTTATCCCATCTAAAATAAGATGAATGTGAGGAGATTGACTTTGGGAGTCTTAAGAAATTTTTAGTATAAAGATACAGATAATTTTTAAAGACTCAAAATCTAAGAAATGTCTTCTAACAATGCTTGGAACTCTAGATTTTCAAAGTGATCCCCAGCACAGAGTCAGCATTGCTCTGGAACCTGTTAGAACTTGGAAGACCTCAACCCCTGACCCTGCTGGAACTCTGGGCCTAACAACCTAGTTTTTAGCCAGTTTAGGTTACTTGCCAGCTTTGTGGAATACCCTATCTCAGAAAGGAACAGACACTGTGCTCCTTAGAATAGAAGCAAGCCTCTCCAGTCCCACATGACTCTTACGCCCAATCCATCTATCTCCTTTGTTTCATAGATGTGATGTAAGGCTCAGGTAGAAGGCAGTGTGACCATAGAGAAGTAGGTTACATGTTAGAGGAGAGGGAAGTTGGGACAAGTGTTAGATATACTGAGTTGTAAGATTCTGAGTAGAGCATTTACCATCCCTCCCTACCCCTAATTCCTTTAATATAGCCTGTGTTTTGGATAAATGATACTTACATTTTCAGACATGCTCTGGAGTACCCTTGAGTACCTTCTCTTTTTATGTATATCTACTTTCTCCTATCCATTCCCTGACTGACAAAATATTCCTAGATCAAAGGCTACCATCTTCTTGTCAACCCAAAAATAAGTGGTCCCCTGGAGCATTCACTAACAGTGTTTCCACCATGCCCTATAGAATGCCTATGCTGTGTCTCCCCCACAACTGTGCCACTCAGAGCTGACCCATGGACTGGATTTCAGTCTGTAAACCTTGACCACTCTGCCATGAGAGAAGGTGACTGTGTGACAGTTGGTTGTCCAGTAAGGAAGAAGTACATTCTGTCACAAATTCCTGATATGTTTGAGGACTGCCGTATTGAGTGGCACTGTCTAGAGAGTACTTGGTATCGCTAATCAGCTCTCAATCCTATAGCTTTGCTTTTCATATTATCTCACTATGTAGAATTTATTGAATGAATGGATGAATGGTACACTGTAAGCAAAGATGAGGAAGTAGATTCCTGACCTGGATGGGGGCTGAGAAATACAGTAGGTAGCATACTATGTGGCATAAAGGTTGCTAGAATTTTAAATAATCTTTACATATTCATATAAGAGATGGAACTTTTAAATTTTTGTCCTGCAATTATGAAGCATCATGTATCAGGTACCAACTCATTTAATTGTCACAATAACCCTGTGTAAGAATTACTTCCTATCATTTTATAGATGTCTTAGTTACTTTTCTATTGCCATGACAAAACACCATGACCAAGACAACTTATAAAAGAAAGCATTTGATTTGGGGTGTGTTGCTCCAGGGGGTTAGAGTCCATGACCATCATGGCAGGAGACACAGAGAGAGGCATGGTGCAGAACAGTAGCTGAGAGCTTACATCTTGATTCACAAGCATGAGGCAGAGACCGGGGCTAACTAGGAATGGTGTGTGCAATTGAAACCTCAGCCCATGACCAGTAACACATACCACAACAAGACTACACCTTCCAATCCTTCTGGGACTGCTCCACCAGCTGGGACTAAGCATTCAAATGTGTGAGCCTATGACCAGCCATTCTCATTCAAACCACCAAGTAGATAGGGGAGCATAGGCTAGTGACTCTTTCAGACTCACACCTAATAAATGGCAAAGCCAAAATCAATTCCCAAATAATATGGCTTCAGGGCTCATGCCCTTCACTGTCCCGCTTTTAATGCATCTTCTGATACTGACTGGTAGGAGAAAAGTCTCCTAGAGAGAATTTGAAAGCAAAATGAATCAGAGGAAAGTGTCAGGACCCAAGAGTTGGAGGAGATGGAGGAGCATTTCTGCATGCAGGGGAAGGCCAAATAACCCAGGGTCCAGAGGTTTACAGGATACAGGAATTTCAAAAAATGTGAGTAGAAAAAATTGCACTGATTTAAAATAAAACCTAAAAACCTAAACATCCAGCATCCACAAATTAATATATTTTCTAGGAAGCTAGAACTGAAGTTGTATTAAATGCCACAGACTGATTTAAAAAAGAAAAGCATGTTTGTTTTTGTTTTGATTCCCTTTGATCCTTTTAGTCTATTCAAAATTGGAAAACCAAAAAGCAGCAAAAGAAAGAGGAAATGCTCAAGTTAAAAGAGAAGGCAGACACCACAGCTGTGCCTTCTCATAGCAAACCAGAAGATAATCAAAAGCAGAAAGAGGAACAGAGAAAGAAGCAGAAATTGGCGGTGGAAGCTTGGAAGAAGCAGAAAAGTATAGAGATGTCAATGAAGCATGCCTCCCAGCTCAAGGAAGAAGAGGAGAGAGAGAGGAAGCAGCAGAAAGAGCGGCAGCGGCAGTTCAAGTTGAAACTACTCCTGGAAAGTTACACCCAGCAGAAGAAAGAGCAGGAGGAGTTCCTGAGGCTCGAGAGGGAGATAAAGGAAAAGACAGAAAAGGCGGAAAAAAGGAAGACTGCTGCTGATGAGATTTCCCGGTTTCAAGAAAGAGTGAGTAAACATCCTTCCTAAGTAGTTTATGGGTGTGGTTCATGAAAGCTTTATTTCCAGGTTTGCTTACACAGGCATTGAGTTCATCCCATCATCTTACCCAGCACCTGCGCTGGCATCCCTACAACTGAGCACATTTCACTCCCTACCTTCTAGTAAGTTATAATTTAGTGGAAAAGATTTGCAGGTCAAGTGATAGTGTCTTGGTTAGATTTTTCGTTAAGTTGACCCAAGCAAGGGTCATCTGGGAAGAGGGGACCTCAGCTGAGAAAGTGCCTCCATTAGATTGGCCTGTAGGCACATCTGTGGGCTGTCTTCTTTATGCTGACTGATATGGGAGGGTGCAGCCCGCTGTGCGCTGTGCCACCTCTGCACAGGTGGTCCTGGGTTGTATAAGAAAGCAGGCTGAGCAAGCTACAGGGAACCATCCCGAAAGCAGAGCTCTTCCATGGCCTCTGCTTCAGTTCCAGCCTCCAGGTTCCTGCCCTAATTTCCCGCAGTGATGAACCACACCTGTCGGCTGAAATAAACGCTTTCCTCCCTCAAGCTGCTTTTGGTCATGGTGTTTAGCATACCACTAGAAACCTACTTAGGACAGATGGTGAGGAAGTTAAGGTACAGACGGAGTGCTTCAGGGGGTAGATAATACAGAGGTGCTTACAGAGCTCTGATTGATAGAAGGTGATGCTGGAATTGAGTCTTCTCTAACAGGAGGGAGAGCATGACTCGGCGCTTGGAGAAGTGTCAACTGTTGTTTGTAGGGAAGCTAGGAACACTTGAGTATACTGCTGGGATGTAGTTCAGTGGAAGATGGCTTGCCTAGCGTGTTGGAGGCTCTAGGTTCAATTCCTAGACACACACACACACACACACACACACACACACACACACACACACACACACACACACACACGAGTTATACTTCAGTATCTTGGAACGCCAAGGAACACATGGGAACCAACAGGCGAGGAGGCTATGAGCCAGGCTGAATGTGTTGTGTAAGCAAGACAGGGAAGGTTATTCTAAGATACACAAAGCATAAACAAAGTAGCTGTCAGTGAGTAAAAATGTTATGAATTGCTAATGTGCATAGCAGCGACATTCATAAAGGGAGGTACAAAGAAAATAGATAAAATACATGAGTGGTGTATACTTCAGTGCATTTCTTTTAGTTTATATATAAAAATGATATTGAGTAACAAAAGATCTCATGCTTACTCATTCCCCTGACAAAGTAAGCAGGCTCCATGAAAAAAGAAAGATTGAGAAAAAGAAAATAAAATTGGAGCTAGGAAAGTATATGAGAGACCCCAGACTAGACATACCTGTGTTAGTAAGTGAAACATGGTTTAGACTGAATCTTTGAGTGGAATAGATGAGGTCTAAATGCAAGTGATGCAGAAAGGGTCTGCATGGCTGCAGTCAGGGACCAGCTCTTAGCCTGCGTTCGAAACGTCACCTTCGAAGGAGTGTTGGCAGCTGAGGTCATTTAAATTGTAACACTTACGGAAGCAAATTTGAGTTAATTTTGTTTTCTTAATGTCATCTTTTTGTTGGTACCTTTTTAGGATTTACAGAAGCTTGAACTGAAAATTCTAGATAGACAGTCAAAGGAAGAGGAGAAGGCAGAAAAACACAGGCGACTGGCAAAATTGAAAGAAAAGGTCCTCTCTTGTGTTGTGTTTGTTTCTGAGACAGCTTGCTGTGTAGCCCAGGCTAGCTTTGAATGCACCGCTGTGGGCTATCATGCCCTGCTTTAATTTATCTTTACTTCTTAAACTGACTTTCTCAACCAACTATAACCATCAATTTTTCACACTAATGAAGTATATATTTCCCCACTTATATATGTGTGTAATTATATGATACTTCAATCAGATTAAGCATAGTCATCTCTTCAGATATTTACCATTTCTTTATGACAAAACTGGTCAAAATTGTTTCTCTTAGCTCTGAAATCTACAGTAGAGAATATCTGTAATCAGGCCGGCAGCATAGCACACCAGAACTTACCTTTCCCTGGCTCCCTCCTCGTTGTCCTGATTGCTTGACTTTAAGGAGACTGGCAGATCTCCTCCCTTTCTATCTCATTGTTCTCTCTGCTTTACATTGCACACGTACATTCCACAGAGCACAACTTAGTGCAGTCTTAGCAATTGTTATTGGAGCTCTGCCATTGACTTGAGAAGCACTCTTTTCTTTGACCCTGAATTTTCTGTCTTGTCCCCGTCATTATTCTTTCTGAAGCTCCGTTCTCTGTGGGTGTGGCTGTGGGCATTGCTTAGTCTCACCGCTAACTGCTCAGAACCTATGTGGTGCCGCATGGGTCAAGTAGACGACTTTATGGGTGTTATTTATACTACATTTATTGTCTGGTTATATTGCCCTTATACTAAGCTGTAGTCTATTTCTCATAATTAAAATAGAAATGAAATAACAGAACTGGGGAAGGATAAATTAGCAGTTTATTAATTGATGTTAGTGGTGTAAGCACAATGAAAGCTTATTTTGGACATATTAGTTAGTTCATGTTTGGGTAATAGCCAAGTGTAATTTTTAAAACTGCTTTGTGTTACTAAAGGTTTTACTTAGTACACATTTAGTTCATATTAATTGATACTATTCTACTTCTGATCACAGGTTGAAAATAATGTCAGTAGAGATCCCTCTAGGCTTTATAAACCTACGAAAGGCTGGGAAGAACGAACCAAAAAGATAGGCCCATCAGGCTCTGGGCCACTTCTACATATCCCGCACAGGTGAGAAGGTAGTAGAAGGTGATCATTTATAAAGATTTATAATGTTTTTATCTCGTGCAGTGTTATGCATGTTTGTCTTTTATACAGTTTCTGAATATAATTTTTCATATAGCAGATTGACAAAGCATATCTATATTTTTAACTTTTTATTATATATGTATTGTGTGTTGTGTGTGTATGGTCGTGTGAGTGCTATGGTTGCTGTGGTGTACATGTTTGTGTCTCTTTTTCCATCATGTGGGTCTCAGAAGTCCAACTTGAGCTGTCAGGCTTGGTTGGAAATGCCTTAACCCACTTTACCCACAGAGCTACCTCACCAATACTGTATATACTTTAAGTTGCCATTACAGACTTGAAAAAAGTACTGTCGGTCTACGGTGTGTTTCCCCAGCTGCCTATTTCCTTAAAAGGGCACCTCTCTTTTAATCAGTTGTTTTTTTATTGTTTTGATCTTCCTGCATATTTATAATTGCTTTTCTCTTTTTCTCTTTAGGGCCATTCCAAGTTGGCGACAAGGAATCTAGAGGGACTATGAGATAATGCAATTGCTAGTCACTTGATGAATGTCAGGAGAAGATGGTTAACTTTGCTATTTAAATGTTACTAACTTAGTCAGGTTGGTTATTGTGCTGTGTATGAATTGAGAAGTTTTAAGTGTCATGTAGCATTGTCAATATTTTCATTCTACAAAGATGGCGTATGTTGGCCTAGTGTTGATATGAATGTTATTTAAATAGGTTTGTGTTACGAACATTATTCCATTTTAATACTCAAAATATTTCAAAAATAGTTTGTTTTTATCATGGCTTAGTAAAATAATTTGGGAGAATCAGTCTTTTTTAAGCCAAAATTTTGTAACTTTTATAACTTGGAAGTAACTAAGCTTGAGTAACAAAGACATAAGTGTCTTTTTAAAAGAGTTGTTCAATAACAGTACATTTTCTAGTTTAACAAAATGGTAATTTGTCAGTTGTTTCATTTTTGTGTAATGAATATTTTGTATTTGATTAAAGCATGCTTTATTTTATATGGAGACTATTTTAAATAACCTCCCTTGCTACATGTACCTTCTTCATATATTATGATGTCATCCTCCAGGTTTCCTGCAACTATGTCAAATTTCCTTTCAGGCTTTCTGGAGCCACAGATTTATAAAATCTTTGTATCTTACTGGGTCGTACAGTTTTCTTCTGCTTGCCCCAAATTAGGAACAGTCTTTCTTCTGAAATAAGCTGGTTTTAAACAGTACACTGACAGTTTTGGATTGAAAAGTAGAAAATTTTTTTAACACAACTCAATTCAGTTTTTTTGTATTAAAACATTTTATGTCATTCTAACTTTGGTTAGGTTTCAACTTATAAAGAAAGTACTATATACATAAAATATAAGAAATTTTACTTCTTACAATTTTATCTTCAAATGCCTTTAATTTTATATATATATGTGTGTATACACACACACACACACACACACACACACACACACACATACAATTAGAAACATACAGACTGAATATCCCAGAAATTAGTAGGATTAGTGATCTAAATCTTTCCTTACATAACAGTTAATAGTTACATAAGTATATAGATTCAAAGTATATAGATTTCAAATTTTAGAAAGTAAATTCTGATTGTATAGTTAATGGTGCACAATGAGAAAGTATCCTTAACTGGAAATGCCCATTTTATTTGCTTGTTTTCCATGACTCTTTTAAATAATCTGGAACTATTGAGGAATATACAAGATGAAGGAATTCAACAAAACTGAACTGTTACCTAAGATACAGGAAAGTAAAGCTAGTATTGCACAAAAATGCACCTTTCAACTGCCTGCATCAAAGCTTAGCACGCTGGTTGATGGATTCTTACTGTTTTAGTCTTCATTATCTTTGGTACCAGTGTTGGGATTGAACCTAGAGTGAACCTAGAGCCCTAAGCATGCCAACTACATGCTCCACATGCTTTACTTCCAGCCTTGTTTGTAGTGTGTGTGTGTGTGTGTGTGTGTGTGTGTGTGTGTGTGTGTGTGTGTAAGCATGATGTGTTGGGGGCAGACGTACATGTGCCACAATATGCTGGGGTATATCAAAGGACACCTTGGTGGAGTTGGTTTTCTCCTCCCACCTTTATGTTGATCCCTAGGATTGAATTCAGGTTTCCAAGCTTGTGCAACTGCTGAGTACCAAAAATTACCCAGGGTGCTTTGGAGTTGAGTGTTAAATATATATAGTGATATATATATATAAAACACTAACCCACAGGGCACATTTTGTAAGAAACTCATTTTCTACAGTTATAAGTACATCCAAATTTCTACTTACTTCGTTTTTGAAGAATCTTGTTAGGCTTAATCTTTCATGGACTCCTTCCTCATGAGTGCTTTGTAAACTTAAAGGAAATAGTACATGGCCAAGGCAACTTAAATTCTATTTTTGCATGAATAAGGTTTTATTGAAATAGTTTTGCCCATTGGTTATACATTGTCTGTGGCTAATTATAAGTTACAGTGAAATTGCAACTGAAGGCGTGAATAGTTGTGACAGACTATCTTATCCATAAAGCCTGACATTTTTATGGTCTGGTGTGGGAGCTCCAGGCTCAGGACTTCTGGAATCTTCTGCTTCCACTTCTGGGAAAAAAGTCAACCCATGAATGAATATGTATTATCTGTAAGCATAAACCAACTTCACTACTTTGTTATACTTAATTTTTAAGAGGAAACCTGTATCAGTATTTCTAAACTATCAACAATGAGGAAATGAAGTATAAGCAGAAATAATTTGTACGTTGTTGAGCTCCCTTTATATAATCAATGTTTAATATTTAAACAAAGTTCAAACCTTATTAAGCAAACACTTTTATATATACCGCCTCCTTATCTTTGTATCTTTTGTTGTTTTTGTTTGATTTTCATAAATTCTGCTTGGATAACTTTATCTTCTGCTCCTATTGCCTCAGCTTTCTTCAGATGAGCCGATGTTTGGTCATACTCTTTTCATCCTAACTGTTCTTGAGTTCTGCCATACAATGGTTTGGGTATTTGATGGGTCCATTTCAAGGACCTTCAGTTAACTGAACTGCTCTCTGCCAATATGACATCTTCACTTTTAAAGCACCAATACTCAATACACAGCATAGATCCAAACGTTATAAAATGAGGACCATCTGTGCATGCAATTTCAAATAGTTCCAGATACTCTAAAGAGGATTAGGACAAACGTCTGAATTTTCATAGTGTTTATAATTGTCTAGTAAAACGTTTGTCTCCAGTTTCCACCTGTAAGTTTAGCTTGCCTGTTCATTCAGCTTAAAACTGTGGCCCTCCAAAAAAGCGTCTGCAAAGTTAGACTTTCAGACCACACGTCCTTATGCTGTTTAGGGCCAGGATTTAAATTGTTTTGGTTAGCACATGAAGAAATGGGCTTCATTCTGTCATTTTCACAAACGAAATCTGACCAAGGGATTTACGAACTGATTTTACGAGATGCGAGAAGGGTTTCTAAAACGTTGGGACGGAATAGAAAAGATTGCCCAACCGAGGGAGAAGAGAGACGAAGTGCTTGCTCTGCTGAGCCTTTCGGTGGTCCACGGTGTGCGGCTTCCACGGTCGCCCCAACCAGACACCTGTGGGAGCGCCGCCCGGGTTGACTTCGCGCCTCCCGCCAACTGCTTCCGGGTCGCGGCGAGTGTCGCTTCCGGAGCAGCATGGCGGCCACGGAGGACGAGAAGCTGGTGGGGAGCGGAGAGGGAGAGCGGCTGGATTTCCTGCGGGACCGGCACGTGCGCTTCTTCCAGCGCTGCCTCCAGGTCTTGCCGGAGCGGTATTCTTCGCTGGAGACCAGCAGGTAACTCGAGGCCGCCGCGGCGGGGCTGGCGATGGCGGCCCTCGGGATGCGCGCCGCGGACCGGCCACAGAGCCGGGACCCGCGGGGCTGTGCTGCCGCCGGGCCGGCCTTAACCCCGAACCCGGCCTTGACCTGCCTGCCCTGGGCCCCGGGCTCCCCTCCAGGCTGCACTTCCTAGGGCCTCTCCTGACATCGCCACCGGCTGCGCGCACCTACTCCTGGCGCCCAGGGAGATGTGTGGAGCTCCAAGCTCAGGACTTTTGGAATCTCCTGGTTCCGCCTCTTTTCACTTCCCAGTCGTTTTCTGTGAGCTTCCTTTTCCCACTCCATTAGCATCCTGTTAGTCACTTTGGTTTCTCTACTTTTACAAAAACCGAGTCCTGGCCGGGCGGTGGTGGCGCACGCCTTTAATCCCAGCACTCGGGAGGCAGAGGCAGGTGGATCTCTGTGAGTTCGAGGCCAGCCTGGGCTACCAAGTGAGTTCCAGGAAAGGCGCAAAGCTACACAGAGAAACCCTGTCTCGAAAAAGCAAAAAAAAAAAAAAAAAAAAACCGAGTCCAAAGCGTTTATCCATCATCGCTTCTGTACAGCCCCCCCCCCCCCCCCAATTAACTCTCAGTTGAAAGTCAGGAAAACACTCTACTAAGATGTGATTAGAAGTTTACTCGTGAGGAATTGTAAATCAAATGGTAGGGCTAAAGGGTTCAGTGTTGCATGAAGCACGCACAGTAAGGCTGGAATTGGCAAATGTTTGACATCTGGCCGAGGTTAAGGAACTATTATAATAGTTCCTTATATAGAAGGAACTTATATATAAGTTTCCTTATATAGTTCCTTCCTGTTATAGAAGTTGATCTGAGAAAACAAAAGGAAGACATGTTTGCTGTGCACTGCCGTGTTTGGAGCGAGGCTTCAGGGCTACCTAGGGTTGGATGATAAGAAACACTGGTTTTTGTTTTATTTTAGACAAGATCTCGCCATGTAGGCCTAGCTGGTTTGGAACTCACAGTGTAGACCAGACTGGTCAGAGGTCCTCCTGTCTCTGCCTCCCAAGTGCTGGTATTAAAGACTTGAGCCACCACACCCAGCACCGCAGTTTGGCCCTGGTATCCCCACATTTTCTTAGTTAGGAGCTCCCAGTGTATTTTGAACACTAGATGACTGGTTCAGTTTGGCGATTTTTGTGGATGACTTTTACAAATGTGATCAAGAAATACTTAACTGGTAGATGCGAAAATACAGCCAAAGAAGGCAGGCGAGCACTTTGAGTGGAATTCAGTGCTGTCTATTAATGCAGGCTTTCTGAGGTAAATAAATAGGCACATGCACTGTAATCCAGGTTTCTGTAGAGAAGCCTTCCTTGACTACCACCTGTATGTATTGGTTTCTTTAATAACTTTTTGTCACATGGAATTCTGTCTCGTGTATAGCATTGGAGCTGCCTTGTTTGGTTTGATTGTCAATAGTCACATTTAGCTATTTTAATCTGAAGTAATTAGATCTGATTTAAAATTCAACTCTTCTTTTACGATAGCCAACACGTTTCAAGTTCTTGACCACATTTTAGCCGCAGACTGTTGTTGCTCTTCACATTTGGGTCATTTTACCGTTGCACTAGGACCTTAAGCGGCAGCTGGCATAGAGAAGGCATAACAATATTGGCATAACAGATATTTGTCAGACAGTGGGAACTGAACCCTAAAGGATGAACAGAATTTTTTAAAGCATTTAAATTTTTAAATTTTATGTGTCTTGAGTATTTTGTTTGCATTGTGCCATGTACCTCTGGACACCAGAAAAGGTCCTGGAACTGGAGTTAGAGATGTGAACCACCATGTGGGTGCTGGGTCTTGAATCCTTGTCCTCTGGAAGAGCAGCTCCAAGATAAACAGACTCTTTAAAAAGAAACAGTGGAATATTGTTTATTCTCTTTCCTTTATCCATAGATATTGATTCACCAGCATGAGTTGCTACTCTTCATGTACTACATGCCTACACTTCAAAGTACTATTTCCGGAGATAGTAATGTGGCTCAGTGGTAGAGCAACTTCCTAGCATGCTGCAGGCCATACGTTAATTCCAGCATTAAAAAAAAAATAAGTCCAAAATTTGCACCATTGATAAAGTGAAGAAATGTTTAATCTGGCTATCAGTAAACATTTATGATTGCATTTTCAAAATCCCATTGTATATGATGTGTAAAATTAAAGTAGTGTATGTTGGCACTACAAAATATGATTTCTGCTCATAACCTAACAGTAAAAATTCTCTAAACTCATAATTCACTAAATAATTCTAGTATAATCATAGCCTTCCACACCAACCATTATACATTAGAACACATGTAACTTCTCAGTGTATTGGTTGAGAGATGCTGTCTTCACCCCTAGGTCTAGTGTATTGCACTTGTATAGAACTTTTGAAGATGTATTATTTATGTGTGTATATTTGTGTGTCTATGTAAATATATATGCATGTGTATGCAAATGCCTGTGGAGGCCAGAAGAGGGTATGAGAGCCCCTGGAGCTGGAGTTACAGGTGGTTGAGAGCTGCCCAGTGTGAGTACTGGGAACTGAACTCAGGTCCAATGCAAGAACAGCAAGTGTGCTTAGCTGTTGAGCCATCTCTCCAGCCCTTCCTATAGAACTTTTACAAAATAATTTTTAGTTTTCGTGTGGTTCATTAATAACCTCATTTAAAAGATAACAATGCATTGGGTCTGTAGTGTTTTCCTTTTCCTTTTTTTTTTTTTTTTTTTTTGGTCTCTATTTCACTTTGGTTTTGAGTTTATTTTTTGTGATTCTTATTGATTTTAAGTTGCTTATGTTCTTCTTACTGACAAATACAAAGCAGCCGAGGTTACTTATTTATAGAAGCAAAATCTCACTGTGTAGTCCATGATGGCCTTAAGCTCACAAGCTGCTTTTTCCTCCTGAGTACTGAGATTACAGGTGTGTGCAACCACACCGGTCAAAACAGCTAACTCTTGGGCTAAGTTAGATTGTATATTTAGACACCTAGTAATAGTTTTTGACCCACCGCTTTTATAAAATCACCCCATTTCTGTTTCTTGTACTGCAATAATTAGGGATTGTGAAGCAAAGTTCTTAGAAACAACCACACCTGCCACTGAACCTTCCCTGAGGCTGGCTAACTTCTATGTGTGTGTGTTTGTGGGGGGGGGGGGGTTAGAATGTTGCAGGTCTAGAACCAGTTGCAATATATCTTGGGCTGTCCTCAGTCCCTAATGGGCCACCTCTGTATCTGGCCTAACATCCTTGTTATTAATAGGTAAAAAACAACATTAGAAATGTATTAACAGACTTCCGCCAACCAAAAGACCAAGAATTTCAGAAAATAAATGAGAGGCCTGTAGCAGAGACTCCACCCTTTTGCCTTAGTCTTTAACATCTACCTAATACTTCCACCATTTATTGAAAAGTGATTTAATTTATGACTTTCTTTGTTCTATTGCTTTAAAAACTTTAAACTCGATAACTACATTGGAATACAGAATTTGGGGTAACCTAAATCTCTGTTCCTGGGCCATGATCACTCACACTTGGCTCTAGAATAAACTAGAATAAACTATGTCTTAACCCCTGTAAGGTGAGAGTTCACAGAATAAATCATTTTTTCTTTTTCAAATGGCACTGGCATCATGAAAATAAGTGTATTATTTACTGTTTTACCAAAGAGCTGTGTTTTTATAACAAAAACCGTTTTTGGCGGTGATAAAGAGAATTTGGTTATACTGATGTGAGACAAGTGAGTAGTTGTTGGGAGGGAAGTAGTAACGGTCTGACAGTATTTTGGAAACTGCTCTGTGTGAGCTGACCAGGTTCCGAGGCTTTGAGACCCTTGCTTTGCACCTTTCTAGAATAAGCGCTTCCGACCCAGACTTCCAAGTGTCTTCAACAATGAAGACATCTTTGTGTAGATTTTAGGTAGGGCTCTCTATAAATCAAGTTGCCTTCTTCTAAAATGTTAAGCCAGCAGCTGCAGGAAGAACTAGATGGCACTGGAGAGATGGACCCACAGTTCAGAGTGTGTACCGTTCAGTTCCCAGCATCCTCAGTGGTTCACTTACGACTGCCTGCAACCCCACCTTCATGGAATCTAATAACTTCGGCCTCCCTCCCCAGGCACCCGCCCTCCTGTGCACAAACCCACATACCCACATATACAGACACACATAACCCTTGTTCACCTCTAGCTGGTGGTGGGACCTGAGAGAGTGGAGCCCATAAATGAGGCAGACTAAAGTTTTATGCAATAACCAACTTTGTTCAGAGCATCAAACAATTTCTACTCTGAAGGTTAAGATGAGTAAAGTATCCAATCACAAGAGGAAGCTGCTTGGGACAGGCAGCTGCAAGTGAGAACATGGTTTTCCATAGAGGCATATAAACAATAACACTAGCCAGTTGTAATGGATGATCTGCAGTCAACTCACTCCTGTCCGCTATACCTTGGAAGGACATAAAACAAAATCCAAAAACAATTCTGTGTTTTTGAAGAAACTGAGATCACAAGACACTTAACCTTGTTTTCTTGGAGTTTTCTCACAAGCACTCAGAACTCTCCTCACATGACTCTATTCTTGGACCCCTAATTAAACATAAAAATCTCGTAATTCTAACACCCCTAATTAAAAATAAGAAAGTAAATCTAACAGTATATATATGTGAGCACAGGCACACACACACACACATAGAGACATGAACACACAACAAACACTTACGTGCTTTCAGCCTTCAAGTGGCTCCCATGCAATTTTCAGTGTGTTCTTGTACCCCACAGGTGAGTAGGGTGCATAATTCCGAAAGTCCCTTTCTTCACAATTAAAACAAGGGGTTGACTGGTACTATTCACTTACTAAGAATAAATTGTGAGGTTTTTGTTTTGTGTGTTTTCTTATTTGACAAGGTAGAGGGATGACATTTAAATTATTTTAAAAATAGAATGAAGGTTTTTAGTTGGTTTGGTTTTTGTTATTTTTCCCTTTGGTGTTTTGTTTTGGGTTTAAGCCAGAAATAGTTCACTGGTTTGATAGTTAAGGTGATATTTTACTTTTTTTTTTCCCTTTAGGTTGACAATTGCATTCTTTGCACTCTCGGGGCTGGATATGTTGGATTCCTTAGATGTGGTGAACAAAGATGATATAATAGAGTGGATTTATTCCTTGCAGGTCCTTCCCACAGAAGACAGTGAGTGAGTTTTTAGCATTTTATTTTTAGTACGATTAGCTGTTCTTGGCATGGCATGCATGGGATTAGCAAATTAGAATTTATTTGTACTCTTGGCAAACTTTACATATCTTTATTTTTCTTGTAGTTGAACACCCCTTTCTGTCCAGATACAACACATAACTGTATTGGCGTTCATTTCTCTCGAGGAAACAACACAGAGTCATGGGAATTACATTGAGACTCACAAATATAGCAGCACACTGTGTTGTATGTGCCTACATTAATGACTCATTATTTGTGTTTGATGTTTATATATGACGAGTCCTTTAGCGTTTGGTCTGTTTTTTATTCTCAGCCATTGTTTTTCCATCTTCAGAAAATTTCTCTTCGTCAATTGCTGTATTTCTTAACGCATAGGTTTTTTTTTTTTTAAATTAAATCTCCAAAATTCATAGCTTCATGATTGACATATTTTGAGAGAAAGAAGTACACAATGTATCTTCAATTTATACAAAACATAAGTGTAGTTCAGATGACCTGAAGTTGTGGTGTGTTACTCGGCAGGTACTTACTACCAAGCCCAGTGACCTGAGTTTTATTCCCAGGACTCAATATGATAGATAGAAGGGAAGAACCAGCCGGGCGGTGATGGCGCATAATCCCAGCACTCGCATAATCCCAGCACTCGGGAGGCAGAGGCAGGCGGATCTCTGTGAGTTCGAAGCCAGCCTGGTCTCCAAAGCGAGTTCCAGGAAAGGCACAAAGCTACACAGAGAAACCCTGTCTCGAAAAAACAAAAAAAAAAAAGAAGGGAAGAACCAGCTTTGGCAAGTTGTCTTCTGACCTTCACACGTGCTGTGGCATGCGTGTGGCCCTCCCTGCACACACTTAATACATAAATGTGAATCACCACAATTGTGGTAATTAGTAACTCACTTCAGAAAATGAACTAAAAATGTTTAGTTATAGTAACACATTAGAAACAAAATGGGTGTTCATCAAAACTAAAATATTTAAGTAAACTATGACACAGTAACAAATGTTATGTGGTGAAATGATAAAAGGAGACCTGTATATGTACTGACTAAAAGTCTGCCTGTCATATATGGTTAAATAATAAATTGTAAACATGCAGTCAGCATGGTGGTGTGCACCTATAGTTCCAGCTCCTTGGGAACTTGAGGCAGGAGGATTGCGAGAGGAGTAGTTCTAGACCAGCTTAGGAAATTAATGAGATCCTTTCATCTGGCCTCAACAACAAATAAGCAAATAAAACACAGATGGTTAACTGTTAAAGTTAAGTCTGTAAATGTAAATGTATAGAGAAAGCCCTTGAGAGGATATCTTTGTGGAGGGGGAAGTAGATGGAGCAGAGGTAGGAGATAGCAGGATAAGATCACGTTTTTCTAGGCATCTACTGCGTTTGAATCTAATAAAAATGTTTCTGTTTTTAAATTAGAAAAAAAAACTCTTCAAACAATGAAAATAAACAATTTAAAACTGAAATCTATATTCAAATATTAATTTAATAGCAGACATAATGTGTATTATTTGATATTTTATAATTTTTCAAAGCACAGCCAGATAATTATCAGATTTATTCTTCATCTAACCCAGAAGAAACCGAGAGACCGAGTAGTTTTCTTGTCGGATTCTGGATTTTAGGCCCATTTCACAGGAGGAAATGCATGCCTGGCACGTAGATCTGGCCAGAGCCCGTGGTGGAGCAGCTCACAGGCCCGAGATGAACTGTTGCTGTTACCTGCTACAGTGACATAACAGCAAACTGCCCTTTAAGTCTGTGCTTTTCTATGCTTTTCTCCTTGTTAATTGGTGCAGCTTCAGACCTCATCGGAGGAGCTTCTTTATGCAGTAGAGTGTGCTTAAAACAAAAACTCAAAATATGGTCAAAGTGCAGAGACCCCCCCCCCTCTCTCTCTCACACACACACAC